CCTTTTTTAGCGCCAACGGGGAAAAATGACCCAGTCGCGCCTCAGGTCCTTGTTTATCGTCGGTTTGGGCCGAAATAACAGCCGGCGAACACGAGCCGAACCCAGTCCCCGGGGCGCCTGGGGGCGTCGGCCGAAGCGAAAAGGCGCGTGGGCCCTCTCTGTCGGCGACAGACAGACCTTTTCCCGCCGTTTTGCCCCCTTTCCCTCCATTTCCTCATTGCTTCCCCCTTTCTGCCCCGCCACTCCCGCCATTCTCCTCACCCTCCCCGCCATCTGGCCACCATGCCGCCGAAGAAGTATTCGGCCCCTCGCGCCGCTGCCGCTACCGATTCTGCCCAGCCGAAACAGAGGAAGCCGAGGGCGCCTATGGCAAAACCACCGGGCATGTCCAACGTCGAGTGGAGGGCGGAGGTTCAGTGCCGGGAGGCTGTCACCACCGATCGGCGGAACAGACTCAACGCCAAGAAGGCCAGGGACGCGGACGTGTCGGCGGCAGCGGCGGCGGCGGAGCAGGCAGAGGCGTCCCGCGTGGGGGAGGCAGCAGCGATGCTGAGTTCAAGTTCCTTCACGTGTTCTCCCGGATTGAGTCGTGCGAGAAGTGGAGGGATGTCCGGCTCACGCTCGCCAAGGCCAAGGAGACGTACAAACCGGACACGACCGCCCTGGGGGCGGCGGATGGCTGCCCTGATGGCAACAAAAGAGCCAAGACGGCGAATGACACAACACCGGCCGCTGAGCAGCTGCAATCTTCGATCGAGCAGTGCATCACCGATGCCAAGAACAATGCCGCAAAGAGGGAGGAGAAATCCGACGCCGGCGTGGTGGTCGGTGTTGATGACGAAGCAGGACGTGAAGCTTGACCTACTACGGATGAACGTCGCCGCGAAGAAGAGGAACATCGACCTGGCATTCTTGATGGGGGCGGACATGTCGGCGATGGATGAGCATGTCTAGGCGTGGTACCTGGCGGAGCGCAGCCTCATCTTGAACCAGACCAAATGGCGTCCCGCATAGACCCGCCAAAGTGCTTAATTAGTACAAATTTGCCTAACAGCAGCACAACCTAATTAGAACTAGCTTTTTCTAATTTGTATATGGAGCGGGCTGGGTTCAGGCGCAGCCTTGCATCCCTACTTAGGACTATGTTTGGAATTACGTTAACTTATAAATAAATCAGCTATAAGATACCGGTAAAAATTAGTGACTGAAATTTATTTAATTGGTTTTGTAAATACATGTGAATATTTTTTTAGCTACTTTTAGTTATGAATGTTGTGAAGCCTAAAATGTACTTCCAATAAGATCGTGATGTTTTATCAAACCAAATAGAAGATAGACAACATGATTAAGAAAATGTGGTAAGCAACGACTTAAAGACTAAATAGACATAACAACTTTTTTTTAGAAAAGGAGGACGCCCCCCGGCCTCTGCATCTGGACGATGCATACGGCCATTTTATTAAATATTGACACAAGACCGTACATAGTCATACAACAATAAGTCTAAAGCTTTCAAACTAAGCAACAACTGTCGCTATCCCTATCCAGTTGATGTAGGGGCGCTGAAAGTCTGGGCCTAATACCAAACAGACCATGTAGCCAAACCTAAACATCTAAAGACTTGAGGTCCTACCCAGGACGCCTGCCGGGTATGGGCATCCACCGGTCGGGCGTGCTTCTCAACCAGGACCCCTGCCGGGTATGAGGCCGCCGCAGCCACCTGCCACGAATCCATCTTCAGAGCTGTACTGCTGCATCAACCTTGGCCGGTCCAACTGCCGCCGACGCCACCATGACGCCAGGCAGCGTCACCCTCCTGCGCGAGTCCATCTCCGCTCATCAGGCGCCGAGTCTCCACTGCGCCACGCCGTCGAGATCCGCCGTCATCAATGGAGCAGATGAAACACCGCTCCTCCTCTTGTCCCCTCCAACCAGCACTTGCTCCAAAACGATGCCCCCATGAGGGAGAACGATACCGATAGCACCGTCATCGTCCGATCCGGTAGACCCAGATCTAGGGTTTCCCCCGGAACTTCCGCCACCTCGCCGGATGGGGCGCTGCCACCGCCGCCGTCCATGCAGGGCCACCGCTCCGCCGGCGATGGTGCTCGGGCCCCCCGCCGCACAGCCCGGATACTCCGTCCTGGCCGCCGTCGTTGGATCGCATGAGAAGGGCCGCCCCCGCCGCCTCAGATGGGATCCGCCGCCTCCCCCCGCCCAGAAACTTTGGCACCGGGCCCACCGCCACCGCGGCCCACGCCGGCGGCAGGAGGGGGTGGAGGGGGAGGTGCTGGTGGTGCTAGGGTTGGGGCCCCTGGCGTCGTCCGGGGGGAGGCGACGCGAGGGGTGCGAGGGGTGCGAGGCATGCGTTTCGTCATAGACACAACAACTATTGCAAGATAAAAAAATTAACCCAATTCGGATAGTAAAATGAAAATTTTATCATCAAGAACATTCTTTCTCTCTCTCTCTCTCTCTCTCACACACACACACACACACACAAAAAATGTGAAACAGGTGCATGGCGAGGCATATAAGAGTTCCACAATGTTGAAAAGAGGGCCACGATGGAACTAGGATGCTAAATCTAAGCTCCGCGTTGATGGATTTTGACATGTGGACTGATCTAAGCTCCGCAGGGTCAGACTCCGCCCAGGCGGCAGAAAGAATTGGAAAGGAGGAAGCATAACTGGGTAGTACTGAATGACAACCTTAATCGGAGTTGTGGCAAACTCGTTTGTTGCTGAGGTAGCAGGAGAGTGTGGCAGTTACAGTAGGGGAATAGGGCGGTATCATAGATGGTAGGAACGGGATATCAGCTGCGTGATGTAGGCCATAGGGTCGGTAGAGGTATGGAGGTCGGATGGTGGCCGGAGTATGGTGTTGATACCATAACCCTAGCCATGCTCTCTCCCTCGATCGCTCTAGCTCGCCAATTGTTTGATAAAATGGTGAAAGCGGATTTGCAAGAGAAAAATTGGAAGGACTGCAATGTTAAACTGACTGTAAGTTTTGTCAAGTAAATGGGTAATGTGATGATTCAGATAAAACAAGCCACGAGAAATCTTGGGAAGACTCCGACACTTCCGAGTATATACAGAAAAACAGAGGAGCGCACAGTTAAGCCCGTTTAAAGCTTTGAGTTAGGTATCTTAGGGTTAGGGACTTAGATTAAGGTTTCCCCGCGACGGCGCTGTATGGAGTGACATATCTAGTTGTATCTTCTTCTCTTAAGGCGGCCTTGAAAGGCGTCGCCCGGTGGAATTGACGACGGTACTTCGTTCTTCTCTGATTAGTGAAGTTCGCTCAGTTTTGGCTTCCTCGAGTAGTCAGTGAGTTTAGCTCTTGCCAGATCAAGGGTGGTTGTCCAACTCTCTTTGTCAAAATTTCTCTGGGACGGCAATCTGTTTCTAAGATCACTGTCGTTGGCGTTTTTTGGTTATGACTAGCAATTTTCCGCCGTTGGTCCGCCTCCAGGTGGCCTTAGGGCCAGGGGGTGCGGTGGATCCTGGTCCTTGCCGGCGGAAGAGCTCCGTTTTTAGACATTTCTTTGAGTTTTGTTAGGGCTTATGTCCTACTCAGAAAGGCGAGACGGTGGTGGCTCCCTCAAGATGGAATAATGTTCTCCCCGCCTAGCTCTGTCCCGGTGGTGCGTCTAGCATTGTCGGTGGTGTGTGGAGGTATGTCTTCAATTGATTTTCTCGGATCTGGTCGTCAGTCGTCTATGTTCGTGTGTCTTCAGGTTGGATCCTTCTAATCTACGCTACTCTTCATTAGCGACAGTTGATGTTCTGGTGTGCCGGTCCTATAAGGCCTTAGCACGACGACTTCTCGACTGTCTACTACAACAAGGTTTGCCGGCTCCGGCGAAGAAGGGCGATGATAGCGGCCCGCCGTCGGCTCGCTTCGGTGCTTGTAGTCGTCCCTAGGTCTACGGATCTTAATATAATTTTTATTATTTCTGTTTACGTTACACTGCCATGATCCATGATTAAAGATGAATATATCAGAAGTTTTTTCGAAAAAAATAACAAGGTTTTTCTGGCTTCGCTAAGGACATGTGTGCATTTTTCTGTTTTTCAAAGATGGTCCTATAAGGATTTATCAGTTTTAGTTTTTTTAGTGGTCAGTTTTAATATATGATCTTTGCCTTTCTCAAATAAAATACAGTAAACATAAGGCGCATGAATGTAAAATACTTAGACAAACAGACCGATCTCTTGTACGCACACTCCACAATCCCACATGATCTATTCAGCTGTTCACTAACACTATCAATGACGCACACTGTTCTCGGGACACAGAGCAGAGCCACACATTCACCCCACACTTAACCTACAACACACGACACGAACAGACATCGCTCCACGATCATAGCAAGCCGCAGGGATCAGATGCGGGTCATGCCGATGCCGCCGCCGTTGATGATGGGCGGGGGCGCGGCGCGGGCCTTGGAGTAGAAGACGTAGTGGAGCATGACGAAGAGTGTGGTGAGGAAGGCGAAGGCGGCGCCGGCGGCGAAGACGCCCCTGCGCAGCATGGCGCAGGGGAGCGCCCCTTCGTTGTAGTAGCCGCTCACGTACTTGGTGTGGTACGCGTTCCGCACCGACCCCGCCAGCAGGCACACCTCCGCGATCATGAACGTCAGCCTGCATGCACCATCCACAGGTTCAGATAGATTTTCAGCCGACAGAGTCGTTGCTGGTGTAAACTGTACTCTCTCTGTTTTAGAGTGTGCTGAACAGAGTTAGGAAACTGCAGTGCAGACTATTCAAAACTGTACTCTGTTTTACCGACCCTGTCGACAGAGTCATTGCTATTCAAAACTGTACTTACACTAACAGTGTGCTGAACAGATAAGAGTTAGGAAACCCAAAAAATGTTGTGCTTGTACGACGTCATTCTGTACTGCAGTGCAGAGAGTCATTTGGTTTTGTTTAGTGTAGTATGATCAAAGGACACAGTGACATTTATGAACCATAAACCAATGTGAATGAGGCCACCAAAATTTGGTTGAGTATGATCCTAGTGTGTGTCAACTAGTACAGTAATATTTAAGAACAAATAACATGATCAAAGAGGGCAGGCCTGGCGCAGTGGTGAAGTCCTCCCCACTTGTGCCAAGAGGTCCTGGGTTCGAACCAGCCTCTCTGCATTGCACTTTGCAGGGGTAAGACTAGGTTCCTATAATCCCTCCCCAGACCCCACCTTGTGTGGGAGCTTCTATGCACTGGGTCTGTCCTTTAAATAACATGATCAAAGTACCAAGTAAAATAGAATTGAGGGTGTACATTACAGTCATTACCACCCACAAGTTCAGAGCAAGGAACAGCCGACAGGGTCGGTACTGGTGTACAGTGTAGTACTCTGTAGTTTTACCTGAACAGAGTTGTAGACTATACTCTCTAGTTTTTGCTGAACAGAGTTAAAAGACTGTACTCTGTGTTTTGTGCTGAACAGAGTTCTATACTGCATTCTATAGTTTGTGATGAACAGAGTGTTTCTAGAAGCAAAAGATTCGTTCGGTTGGTAGCTTCATGTGCTAATGTGTGACCAACACGTGACTTGTTTGTAGCGTCTGTTGACAAAAAATGTCAGTCATAGTAACTGACAGTGTGCCATGACATGTTTATATGTTATCATGCTTAGGAATCAACTACTCTGTATATTTTTTGCATCTCTGTCACATCCAAATGTGATCAAACATATGCTCGAGTGCCTATAAGGCGCCGACATGTTTGATTAAACATATCCTAGATGGTGCTTGCAATAATTAACTGACACCGGCGCACCGCTCAATCAGCACCATCAGAGTCAGGTGTGCGACCGCAAAAGGCCTGAACTACAAGGGCGAAATCGCACGAACAAATAAGCAGTAGTGGATGCTAATCAGCAGGCTGGAAGCCAGCGATCGACCATGGATGTATGGATCAGAATTTAGATGTTGGTTGGTGAATTAACTGGTTGATTTCTTACCAGCAGAGGACGAAGAAGAGGCCGGAGAAGAAGCGCCAGCGGCCGGGGGAGAGCGCGCGGCCGCAGCAGAAGCAGCGGCTGGCGGCCATGGCCACGGCCTGGCCGACCAGCAGCAGGGCGAGCGCGCTGACGCCGTACCAGGTGGACGCGTCCGTGTCGTACACGCAGTACCGCCTGCCGCCAGGCTCGGCCTCGCCGAGTTGCGCCTGCACCCAGTTTCCCCAATCAATCAAGATTCTAGAACCAGACGCCTCCGGCCTGAGCACGTACGCACACATAGATGCTTGAACGAATTGGCTACGAGATGGCGCGGCTCACCGTGCTCCGGCGGCGCTCGGCGCCGATGGCGAGGACGAAGGCGAGGATGTCGAGGAGCAGCACCAGGCCGATCACCACGATGGACGCCATGGGGGTCGCCGGCCGATCAAAGCCAGATCACGCCGCTTGCTGGGCAGCTAGCCTTGCACCGGCGGTCGACGGATCGAACCTGCTACGCAGAGCACGGAGAGCTCGCTCGCCGGCTTTCCTCTGCTTCGGGGGATAAGAGGAGGAGGGTGGGAAACAGGGAAGGAAAGGCGATGCGCATCGGAGATGTGGCTCGCCACTACTGCTGGGTGGGTCTTCCTGAGGTCGACGTCCCCTCCCGCTTTGTATTCTTCCTCTTGCCACTCTGCTGATTTGCTGTCGTGGTGGTCTGTAGACTGTGTACTCTATCGATGCCACCGCCTACTCCGCTGGCTGCGTGATTACCAAATAAATTACTCGTAGAACACACCTATACGATTCCAGCCGGTTGATGTGCCGGGGCGAGCTGGCGGGTGCCCTGGCTTGGCTTGGAGATGAAACAATTTCCCTTTCACTTTCTCATTTTTCTGATCTTGTTTAGATCACGGCTTCCCTTTCCTTGCGGGCGAAGGATCCGATCGGTTGACGGGTGCTTTTTGCCGTTTTCTGTACGTAGCGACGACGCGCCAGATGTCCGTCGGCGAAGGGTGTTCTTCCGGGCGACGGCGACACTCGTTTCGTGCGCCGGTGCGCTTTGCGGTGGCGAGTAGCTGGCGAGCAAAGCGAAGAGTGGGCACCGAGGAATCAAAGGAGGAGGAGGTCGAGCCGGAGGTGGAGGTGGGCGGTCCTTTTCCCTGCGGGTATACCGCACCGGAGGAAAACGACGGCTGGATCAGTCAGCTGCCAGTGGCAGCGCCAGTGCCTCCGGCGTGCGCGACACGGGGTCGATGCTAGTATATGCCTAGAGGGCTGGGCAGCTTGCCGATCGGCCGGGCCGGACGGGCCAACCGTCCGCGTCTCTTTCGGCCGCCGGCGATCCGCCGTTTCGTGTGGGGCGATGGCTCTGTTTCCGTCTGCTACCGCCACGCTCAACGCTCATGCCATTCCCGTGCGAAACTTTTCTGCGCCGTTTCATTCTGGTCCGTAGGGGTGGGTAATTCCTGCATTACCGTGGCCCGCGTTAATTCAGAGCAGCTACTTCATGATCCTTCCAATTCGATAGCGATCTGCTAGGGTTAAAATGGAATGCAGGCAACAATTTTGGATTTACCTAAACGCAAATATTCAACTCTCAGCTACTTTTTTCTTGAAAAGGAAGGACCAACCTCCCTGCCTCTGCACTCGTTTTTTTACGAGAAAACTTCCAATCCCTCTGCATTCTCGGGTGCACATAGCCATCATGCCTCTACACTTTTTCTGCGAGAAAACTTGTAATCCCTCTGCATTCTCGGGTGCACATAGCCATAGCTTTCATTAAAGTGGTGCTAAGCATCAAGACCCGTCAATTGGCTTTCAAAAATAAATCAATAAATAAACAATACCAACTATTGCTATTGCTTGTATACTTTATTTGTGCACCCAGTGTTTTAGTAATGATTTAGAGGACTATCCAACAAAAACACCGTAAGGCATGATTCCATTTGTGATGTTGCTGGGTTTTAGGCATTTTACCCTTTTTTGGTTAGTCATTTTACCAAGATGTGTGCGTCGGTACAGGGCCGGCCCTAAGGAGGGGGAGGGGGGCAGTAGGGGCCGCCGCCTCGGGACCTCCAAACTTAGGCCCCCTGCACACGTATGCACAAGAATCGTCCCTGCCACAAATCCCTGATAAACGTCATTAGAGATCCATGTTCTTTTTTTTACAGCATTAGAACAATAGAGCTCCTTGCCCTCAGCGAAGAAGATGGCACAATTTTACCTTTTACCACCTAGGCCTTGGGCCTTCTATTTGGTATCAATGTTAAAGGAGTAAGTGGATTGTGGGTTAGCTGGGTCAGGTTCGCACATTTCTAAGCGGTCTTTTTGAAAGATTGGAATAACCATTGGTTGAAGTGGTCGCAAAAGCAACGACGCATAAGGCTTAGTCCTAGCAAATTAAGGGAAATATTTATTTGACGAACATTGCATGGCACTTTTTCATGTTGTGTTACGCTTGGTAATAGACATCTGAGAAGTTTGCCCCTTTGCCCATCTTGTTCTTGCGGTCTATAAGATATGAAACATTTGCTGTTTCAATGACAAAAAACTAAGGAGGTTTGGAGAAGGCTGGTATTGGAAAAAGTTATTGAATGAGCTTGGGAAGTTGATCATGCCAGCGAAACTGTCCTGGAATTTTTATTTCACTTGCCAGATCAAGATTTATTTATCACGGGCCTCCAAAATACATGTGAGATGATTGCCGTCACCACTTGGCATTTGTAGTGGGGAAGGCGTAAGCGGGTGCATAAAGAGAAGATTCAAGATGCTATCCAGATTGCTATAGGGATTCTTGCTCTCACGACGGCTAATTATGTTTCTGTTTCTTCTCCAAATGTTTCTATTAGGAGAGAGGGGGGATTCACCCATCTGTGGGTTTTGTGAAGCTTAATGTTGACGCATCTTTTGATCATGAATTACTTAAGGCTATGGCTGGGGCGGTCTTGAGGGATGATAAAGGCTTCATTGCGCGGGGGTGGGGGGGGGGGAGTTGAAGAGTAGATTGGTGTGCAAATGTTCCGACGGTGGAAGCTCTGGCGCTTAGATTCGGTCTATCCCTTGCGCAAAGGGGGGGATGTAATCGTCTCTATATTAACTCTGATAATTTGAAGGTAATTGACATAATGAAAAATGGATGACGGTCAGCAGGAGCAGAGGCGAATTTGACTACTGTTATTATTTGCCTTTTGATTCTCCTATTTCTTGTTTTGACTTCTGTAACAGAGAGGCTAATAAGGTAGCCCATGAGCTTGCTAGGTTGGCTAGATTTTCTCTAACATTTGATTGGATTGATAAGCGTTTGGATGAAATTATGCGCCTCCTCATAAGAGCATCTTAGCCAGGCACCCCAAACCAACCTCAAATGCCCGGTGGACGGCCCTGTCACAAAAAATTGACCCCGAAGGACTCCTCAAACCGGTCTCAAACACAAATTAAATAATTCGAAACTTTTGAAAAATGGGAAAAAATCAGTAATTTTAAGAATAAGTAAATAAAAAGAAAAACAAGGAAAAAAGAAAAAGGCAAAAACCCAACAAAAAAAGAAAACAAATATGTTCGCAAGCGTCTATAAGCTTCTCCAAAATGGGCTGCAAGCTTCAAAAAACCAAAAGCTTGCCTGCCTTCAAAGAAACAAAAGTGTGCCACAGATTATGGTGTGCGATACTAGCTATACAACGATGGCCTGGCCCATTATTAACAATTGTGCGTCAGTCGACGAAGGAGGTGCCCATAAAATCACTAAGGGCATCTTCAATGGTTGTAAGATAGTACCTGCTAAAAATCCCTGATAAACGCCATTAGAGCTCCTTGTTCTTTTCTTTACAGCATTATAGCTCCTTGTTCTCAGCGAAGAAGACGCTACAATTTTTCCTTTTACCACCTAGGCCTTGGGCCTTTCTTTAGTATCAATGTTAAAGGAGTAAGTGGATTCTGGGTTAGCTAGCTCGGGATCGCACTGTCTTTTTGGAAGATTGGAATAACCATTGGCTGAAGTGGTGGCAAAAGCGACGGCGCATAAGGTTCAGTCCTAGAAAATTAAGGGAAATATTTATTTGACAAACATTGCATGACACTTTTTCATGATGTGTTCCGCTTGCCAATAGACATCTGATAAGTTTGCCCCTTTGCCCATCTTATTCTTGTGGTCTATCAGATACGAACATTTGTTGTTTCAATACAAAAAGCTAAGGAGGTTTGGAGAAGGCTGGTATTGTAAAAAAAGTCATTGAAAGAGCTTGGGAAGTTGATCATGCCATCGAAGTTGTCCCCGAATTTTTATTTCACTTGCCAGATCAAGATTTATTTATCATGGGCCTCCAATATACATGTGAGATGATTGCCATCACCACTTCGTATTTGTAGTGGGAAAGACGTAAGCGGGTACATAAGGGGAAGATTTAAGATGCTATCCAGATTGCAAGGATTCTTGCTCTCA